TAGTAGATGCGCAAGGTGGCCCTATGTGCCGGAACTCTACTCAATCTCATGATCTTCAACCATAAATGTTTCCCTAGCTGCTGAAAGCTTAGCAGTGATGAGTTTCATCCTTAGTTTCCCTCCTAAATTTGACTTTCAACTCTTATGTGTCTAGGACAAAAGTACACCCTAGAAGATCACTGAGAAATCATGCATCATTCGGGCGTGGTGGCTCATGCCTGTAATCCCAGCACTTTGGGAGGCCGAGGCAGACAGATCACCTGAGGTCAGGAGTTCGAGACCAGCCTGGCCAACATGGTGAAACCCCGTCTCTACTAAAAATACAAAAATTAGCTGGGCATGGTGGCAGGTGGCTGTAATCCCAACTACTTGGGAGGCTGAGGCAGGAGAATCGCTTGAGCCTGGGAGGTGGAGGTTGCAGTGAGCCAAAATCACACCATTGTGCTCCAGCCTGAACAACAAGAGCAAAACTCCATCTAAAAAAGAGAAAAAGAAAAAGAAAAGAAAAAAATCATTCATCAGTTAGTTTTAATGGCCTCTTGGTTTAGATATAAGCAAGATGACATTTTGACTATGTTTTTGTTCATGTTACATTTACTTTATTCCACTAGAGAGAAAAGAGCAAGACCTCCTTCTAGCTGTTAGACTTTCAGCTCCACCTGTGAAAATTGATTCACAAGTCTCCTTGTTGTTTTAATATCTGGTGGTGTACAATCAACTAAAAATCTTTGTAGGGGTATATATATACTTAAGGTGTGCAATATGGTAAACTTTTGCATGTATGCACCTGTGAAACTATCACCACAATCAAAATAATGGACATTTAGATCACCCCAAAGTTTTTTTGTGTCCTTTGTTATCCATCTCTCCCTCCACCCTTTTCCCCAGGCAACCACTTATTGGCTTTATGTCACAGTAGATTAGTCTGAATTTTCTAGAATTTTATATAAATGGAAGCATACCATATGTAGATTTTTGTCTGTCTTCTTTGACTTAGCAGAGTCATTTTGAAGTCCATAACACTGTTTTGCATCGATAGTTCATCCCTTTTTAGGACTGAGTAATATTCCATTGTGTATATATACCACAGGTGTATTATCCATTCATGTGTTTGTAGACACTTGGGACATTTGTACTTTTTAGCTATTTTCGAATAAAGCTGGTATGAACAACTTTGTACAGTTTTGGACAGAAGTTTTCATTTCTTTGTGATAAATGTCCAAGAGTCCAATTCCTCTTTTGGTAAGTATGGCTTTAGCTTTTCAGAAAACTGCCACACTTTTTTCTTAAGTGGTTGCACAGTTTTACTTTCTCACCACCAGTATATGAGAATTGTAATTACTCCACATTCTTTCTCAACACTTCTTGTGGGCAGAATTGTTTTAGCCATAGTAGTGGGTATGTAGTGGTATCTCATTGTGGCTTTAGTTTGCATTTTCCTGGTAACAGTGATGTTGAGCATCTTTTCATTTGCTTTTTGGCCACCTCTATTTTTTGTTGTGAAGTGTCTCTTGAAACTTTTTGCCCGCTTAAAAAATTGAATTTCAACCATTGTGGAAAGTAGTATGGCAATACCTCAAAGAGCTAAAAGCAGAACTACCATTCAACCCAGCAATCCCATTACTGGTTATATACTCAGAGGAATATAAATCATTCTACCATAAAGATGTATGCACTCAGATGTTCATTGCAGCACTATTCATAATAGCAAAGACGTGGAATCAACCTAAATGCTCATCAATGACAGATTGGATAAAGAAATGTGGTACAGGCTAGGTGCGGTGGCTCACACCTGTAATCCCAGAGTTTTGAAGGGCCAAGGCAGGGAGATCACTTGAGTCCAGGAGTTCGAGACCAAACTGGGCAACATGAAGAAACCCCATCTCTATAAAAAATATGAAAAATTAGCCAGGTATGATGGCAGTGCCTGTAGTCCCAGCTACTCAGGAGGCAGAGGTGGGAGAATCACCTGAGCCTGGAAGTCAGGGCTACAGTGAGCCCTGATCACACTGCTGAACTTTATCTTCTCTAGAGAATATGTAGTACTTTAGGTAACAAGGTTATATGTACAAGGCTAGAAAACAACTACTTATGGTGCATTATAAGTGCTTTATAGATAATGCATATTTTGGGAATTTTGAGCACCACCAAGATGTTTGTGTATTTAAGAAAATGTTTTACAATGGTGACATTGATTTCAATAAAAGGAAATGAGGCATTTCAATAAACATCGGTTACTATAAGTGAAACTTTTTCTCGTTCTTTCTTTTTTTTAATGCTTTACCACTTAAAAAAGAAGAGCAACTGATAGCTAATTTGGATTGTTACTTTTTCTAATTATAGATTGACAAGAAAGTGTACTTTTATCTGACTGTACTTAATTAGAGAATTTATGAGTTAGTTTTTGTAGTCAAAGCAGGATATAGTTCCAATAGAAAATAAATTGTTTATCCTATGCAATTTTTGATCAGATTACACAGCATTTTCTTAGAAAGGAACAAATCCATGTTATAATTTCCTTTTGAATGGGAAAAGAATCTCTTTAATTAAAAAGAATCTGCTTACGTCTGTCAGTGCTTTTAAAAAAACTTTATCTCGTGTTTTATTAATCTGGAATGACAAATTGGACCTGCATTTATTTTTATTTGCTCATCCTTTTCCAACAAATGCCATGACTCAGATGCTCATATTAAAATCTTTGGAAAGCCACATCTCATATGCCATTGTATGAGTGAAACTAAATGCAAGTCTGTGCTCTTGGAAGTAAATTTTCTAATTAGTTCCCTGAATTCATGGAAAATAAATGGAGACACTTCACAGCAATTCAGAGCAAAAACTTCCTTTCTTGTGTCTTTAAACAGAATTAGAGATGATGCAGCAAAATCTGTGGTAATGCCATTAATAAACTTGCACCCTCACTACTACCCATTCCCTGGCTCCCATCCACTTCAAACAAATCTCTAGGGCAGTCGATTTCAAAGTACGATCCCTAGACCAACAGCATGGGTCTCACCAAGGAAGTCATTCGAAATGCAAATTATCTGGCCCTACTCCACACCTGCTGAATCAGAAACTTAAATTGGAAGGCACGGATGGGACTGGGGTGCAGCAATCTATGTTTTAACAAGCCTTCTAGGTGCTTCTGAAGCAGACAAGTTTGAGAGCCACTGTTCTAGGGGAGTGAAGTAAAATTCATTTCTTGCAGCTTCAAGCTGAAAGGTTTATTACCAGGTTGCTGTAGCAACAACTGCACAGTAGGATTGGATAATGAAACATTGTGAAATTAAGAGGCATGAATATTAGCTGATCCCAATATTCTAGATTGCTGAAATTTATATTGGGCAAAATTGATTTTTACTTTTAGCCTTATGGCAAGAAGAAGCATGGTTTCATAACATTTTATGTTTGACAAGTGGAAACCACAACTATTTTTTGAATACTACTCCTTTGGAATTTAGCCAAGTTTTTGTAGAAAAAGGGAATTACTCTTTAAGACATTCATCATGGAAATCAAAAGGTAGCATACTCAGCAGTGACTTATAACCCTGAAAGAGTTAGTTTTTAATTGAATATTTCTAATACATTGTAGTAGCTTTATTTGCCTACTATATGTTTCACAAAGCACAGTGCTATTCACCTAGTGGTATTAAGTAAACAATAAGAATTTTTTGTTAAACCCCTATTTGGTAATTATATGCCACAAAAATAGTTATTTTAAAAATATATTCATATTCTGCTTGCTTTCCTCTAGTGTGTGGTCTAAAATCCAGTACTTTCTGTATTCAAAGAATTAAATTCATGTTAGAGTTTGCATTTTATTGATATGTGCTAAGGATTAGATGCACTCAGTTAAGTTCCTTCCCAGCCAAATGACATATCCTGTCTCTGATGTCAGTCTGAGAAAATCCTGTATGGTGCACTACATCTCTGGATTACCTTATCTAAGTATTACATGGACATTTCAGATGATATGTCTTGGCATGTGGTCATTTTTCATTAACTTATTAGGAATTGTTAAAGCATCTTTTCCCCTTTTTGACACCTTGCTATAATTGAATGTAAAATTGACTATAAGACTGAATGCTTCATATTCATGCAGTAAGTTGAGGGGGCATCGTTGGTGTATAGCAGAAACCATGCCTAGATGGGTGTTTTAGGAAAAAGGGCTGTGTTGCTATCCGATGTGAGCTATGAAAAAATAATACCTATCCTCTGGCGTTTATTTTCCTCAACTATAAAAAGAAGGAATTTGTTGCATCATCTTTAAGGTTCTGAAAATTTTATAATTCTAAGATCTAGGGGGAAAGGAGAGGAAATCCAATCCACGAACCACTGCCAAGGTACAATATATGACTAAATATTTTTAGGTATTTGTTGAAAAAAAAAATTAAACAGAATAATTAGCATAAAGTCAGCCTTGAAATCCTTTAAAATCAATGGAAAATAATGATATTAGGTACTGATGATTTAGAGTTTAAATTAACATGTTTTAGGAAAAATACTTTAGAAAAGTGCATTCGAACTTAATGCTTTTTTCTCAGAGTTTTCACATTGAATTATTTATTCTTAAATCCAATGTGTATGGAATACTTAGAAAAGCAAATAATTTTAATATTTTAAGCATAGGTACGCTCTGCAAATCATATATATTCTTCCTAGAAAAGAAATATCTTTTAAAGGACACCTCTCTACACTTTATACTCCTCTGCACTCATTTATTTCATTACATTTTGTGAAACCTAAAATTGTAGCTATAAAGCTATTTTGGGCACGCTTTTTCCAGAACCTTGTAAGAATCAACAGGAGCATAATTTTAAGCTACAGAAGTGCAAAATAAGCACAGAGTCCTAGCTACCATAAATAAAAGGCCAGAATTCTAACTTTGCAAAAACACATAATTACTACCAATGGGGGAGAGGGGAATGAGGACAAAAAGTAGAATTTTCTGGGGGATTTCTTCATACTTCTAAATGTTTTCTCTGAACTTTGTTTCTTCTCAGAGATGGAATTCTGTGAAACCTCTCACACTCTGTGCTCTGGCTACCAAACAGACATGCACAGCATTTCTCGGCGTGATTACCAGCTCGAGATGGGATCTGATGTGGACACAGAGACAGAAGGTGCTGCCTCACCTGACCATGCACTAAGAATGTGGATAAGGGGCATGAAATCAGAGCATAGCTCCTGTTTGTCCAGCCGGGCCAACTCTGCGTTATCCTTGACTGACACTGACCATGAAAGGAAGTCTGATGGGGAAAATGGTAATAAACTACTTGAATTGTTTAAGTGAAACACAGAAAAAATGCAATTTTTAGCCTTTGCTTTGTTCTCCTTCCCTATATCTGCCCTTCTTTCATTTAATATGCAGAATGGAAATACAAGTTAGCAGGGACTCATGGGCAAGGCACGTACCTAAGTATCTGGCAAATAGACATTTATTTATAATAACAGACAAAATACTTTACATTTTTCGGTGAGCCCCCAAGGGAAATAATCTCATGTAATCAGTAATATTGTGCATGTTTTGTTTATTACTCACCTTTTATTTTCATCTTTATTTTCCATGGCAATACTAGTAGAATTTATTATAGAATGTCCAAATTTCATGTATTTGGGCTTTATATCAATAAATGAACAGTGAGATGAACAATTGTATAGCAAGCATATTCTGTATGTGCTTACTATTTGGATTCAGATTAACCTGTTGAATGTACAAACTCAAATTAACCAGGTTGGACTGAAATGATTTAAAAAACCAGAAGGTGAATGAACATCATCCATTTGCTTGACAATAAGGACTAGCAGCAGCATTGTGTTGTAAGCATATATGATTTTCTTGCAACTTTTATAAAAGGAAAATTTTGTCTTTTTGATTTGTTGGAAAGGGGTTAATTTATTTTATTTTTGTTCTTTTGCTCCTACCAGAGAACAAAATAGTTTCATAAAAAGCACATTACTGCTTATTAAACACATTCATCTAGTCTCTCCATCATTCTGTTTGTGTACATTTTATAGGTCCTCATTACCATGACCACAAGGCTTAGTCTGTTAGCAGTGGTAATTAGTACTTTTTCAGGTGGCAGAGAGATAGCCAGCTGCCCTGTACCTGCAGTTTTTTTTCTATTTTGTCCTCTTCTTCCTTCTTTAACCCAAGCGTGACACTGGCCATATAATCAGGAATTAGAAGTTGCCTACTAATTAGAATATCACTTCCTAAATAATAGACCATAACACTTTATGGTATCATCAAGTATCCTTGGGGTCTTAATATTTTTTATATTACTTTCATATATGTATGTGTTCATGTATGCATTGTTGACTTTGGCCAAGAGTATAGGAAGTAACATATGGAAATGAGAAGGGAACATACTTGACATATGTAGCACATTCATGGAAGTGAAAGGCATTAGGATAGAAGTTAGGAGACATTTGATTGGTCACTACAGTTTTCTGGGTTTCATCTTTCAATTGGGAAAAACAATGATCAAAATTATATGAAATGGGATGGTAGGTGATCTCTTATATTGGCAAGACATCTTGTTCTCCCTCATCTCACTCTGGACATATTCACTGGGTTGAAACATTGAAATGAAAGGAAGAAGTTTCCCCACTGGGCTCTACTATTCTTCTACCTCTGCAAGTCCCTTGGTATGAGGTGTCTTTTGGGGTGATGAAAATATTCTAGACTTAGATAGATGTGATGGTTGTGCAACTCTGCAGAAATACTAAAAACCACTGAACTGTATGCTTTAAAAGGATGAATATTACATATGTGAATTATATTGCAATAAAGCTGGGTTTTTTTTTGAAGCACCACTAGATGAAGGGTAAGGGTTGAAGTTTGAGGAATTGCAGATGACTTGGACAAGGCTTAACTAGTAAAATGTTTACTGTTACAGGTTTCAAATTCTCTCCTGTTTGTTGTGACATGGAGGCTCAAGCTGGGTCTACTCAAGGCAAGTGTTTTCAAATATTTGATCACCAATTATTTTTACTTCACCCCATCTCTGGCACCCTACCCCCACAAAATGGAACCCTGCTCCTCTGACAAACAACATACAAGCCTGCTCAATGAACCTGTCGGAGAATACAGTGGCAGCTTATTTGTTTGTTTTCTTCTTGAAAATTTCATTTGTAAATGTTGGTGGTGAAGAGGAGGTCAAGGGGGAGCTAGGGAGAAGGATAAAACAGGATTCCAGGTAGGATGAGAAAACATTTCTTTCACCTGGGAGGAGAGACTGAAATCAGGATGGGTTGGATTTGGCCTTATGACTTTCTACATATATACCATGTTTGGCATGGCTCTAATAATTAACTCAGTATAGTTTAGGGATTGTCATAACTTTCAGATGTTGCCTAGCAGTTGGCCTTGGTCTCTTCCTCCAGGTGTTCATGCTTGGCTTTAGCATCACACTTTATCCATGTCATCAATCATAAATAACACCTTCAAATGAAAAAAAAATGTTGTTCATCCTCTTCTGTAAACCTATATTTACACTGTGTCATTCCTTAGTATGGGGGCATTGGTGTTTTGTTCTTTTTTTTTTACTTTTGCCTTCATTGTATTCATTGGGTTTTGCCCCTTTGGAGAGGGATACTACTGAAAGTAACATTTATAAATGGTTTTCACAACCCGGTCTGTGCTGGGGGCCTTTCTCTAACACCTTATAGTAGGGTCCACACATCCCACCACAGGGCAATGACTCAAAAATGAGATGAAACTAGTATATAAAGATTTAGAACAGTGTTTTTAACATGTAGGAACAATATGAATGTTCACTATTATTACTGGATTAGCATTTCAAAATTTCCAAACACACTTTTCATATCTTTATGCCATTTCATCCTCATGACCACTCTGTGAAACAAATTCTGTTATCTCCATTTTACATATGAGGAAGTGTTAAAACAACAAGTCAGAAACAATCTAGCTGAATTTCACTGGATTATTTCCCAAGTATGCTTTGTTTTCTCCCTTGGATCATGTGTGTATGCAATATGTAAACTTGAACAACTTTTCCCTGCTCAGTTCTCTATGTCTTACTTTGACTCCTACTAATATTTTCAATAAGGAGTATATAATTTGGGTTCTTATTTATCACCTATGGTAAGATTTTATCAATGTGGATTCCACAGATTTTAATTGATGACAACCATGCCTGGCCTGCCTTCAGCATTTCCATAGATCCTTGAGGAGTTGGTTTGAGTTAAGATAAGAATGTAAATGACTTTTCCAAAAGTATGTTAATTTTGAGGAAACAAGTTATTTCCAATGAATGAACTTGACGTTTGTGTGGAAATGTTGCTATTTATTTCCTATTGATTTCATCCATTCATGAAAGCATGCTAATCAAGGCATCTATTTTATTAATTTGAGTTGATGTATGTTATATTTGAAAAAGTAAATCTTTAGAATATTTGTTATGTATATGTTTTCCTACCTCAGACTCCATACCATCCCATCCCTGTGGCTCAATTAATGTCAATGACATTTTGTTTTGTTTCTGTCTTCCTATACTTTCTGAATTTTAGATTATTGATGAGACAATGGGCATGATATCATGGATCGGCTTAGGAACATTTGAGCCTCACTGCTGTGAATGTTAGATAAAAGTTAAGATGGAGGAAATTGAGGAAATTGTTAATTTAGGTGAATTGTCCAAATGAGAAATATTCTGAGAAGTAATTTCAAAGATGCTTACTATTCTATTCATCCTAGGAGAATATGACTTTGGTTTTCTACTTACATTTCCAAAATCATGTCTATAAGGACTTGTTTCTTTTATTTCATTAATTGGCCAAGCCTTTCAGAATTTTTTTTCTCATTTCCTTAACTCTATTTGGTTGCCCTTAATTGAATTTATGTCTCTGACATTTTATAACTCATGAAGAATTATAAGAAATAACCCTTAATTTCAGCACTAAAACATTTGAACTTAAAGGCCTGAAGTACTGGAAAGGAAACCATCAGGTGACAGAAGGGGATCTGGAGGCTTTCACAGGGATCAGAGCACTAATGCATTATGTTTCCATTCTCTCAAATTTGTCCTAAGTAAACCCTTCATCATCTGTTGATGCTGAATTGTCTATTAAGAAAGATGCACATTCACTCAAGTTAGCTTCATTTTGGGACCTGTGAACAGTCAATACCTAGGTGATACTTTGATATCAACCATCATGCTTTATTCTATGTCATTTTTATTCCCATTTCACCTTACTAACAGCATTACTACTCATCATAGGCTAATACTAGAGTTGTGTATTTTATATCCTAACAATGGTTGTTAATAAGCACTAGACTGGAAGCTACTTGATGAAATGGTCTAATTTATTCACTTTTGTAGCTTCAATACTTAGCAAGGGGACCTAGAGCACAGTAGGCACTAAATAAATGAAAAATATGTATTGTTCTAAGGGTAAAATATATTTTTTGTCGATCTTGTCTTGTGTGAATCTCATAAGGATAGAAGTGCTATAGTGTGTCAGACCTCTGGTCATCTAACACACAACTCTATCTCTGATAGGTGATCTAATGGTAATTTAATTTTTTTATCTTTAGTTATGGATACATAATAGGTGTACATATTTATGGGTACATGTGATTTTTTGTTTGTTTGTTTGTTTGTTTTGACAGAGTCTCCCTCTGTAGCCAGGCTGGAGTGCAGTGGTGCGATCTCGGCTCACTGCAACCTCCGCCTCCTAGGTTCAAGTGATTCTCCTGTCTCAGCCTCCCAAGTAACTGGGGCTACAGGTGCGCACCACTACACCCAGCTAACTTCTGTATTTTTAGTAGAGACAAGGTTTCACCATGTTGGCCAGGATGGTCTCAATCTCTTGACCACGTGATCCGCCTGCCTCGGCCTCCCAAAGTGCTCGGCCTACAATATGTGATGTTTTGATACAGGCATACAATGTGTAATCAGGGTAATTAGGGTACCATCACCTCAAGCGTTTATCATTTCTTTGTTAGGAACATTCTAATTCCAATATTTTAATTATTTTAAAATATATGATAAGTTAACATTGACTGCAGTCACCCTGTTGTGCTATCAAATACTAGATCTTATTCATTCTATCTAACTATATTTTTGCACCTATTAACCATGCCTACCTTTTCCCCCATTTCCCTCTACCCTTTTTAGCCCCTGGTAACCATTCTTCTATTCTCTATCTCCATAAGTACAATTGTTTTGATTTTTAGTTCCCACTAATCAGTAAGAAGATGATGTTTGTCTTTCTGTGCCTGACTTGTTTCACTTGACCTAATATCCTCCAATTCCATTCATGTTGCAAATGACAAGATTTCATTCTTTTAATGGCTGAATAATATTATATTATATATATGTACTACATTGTCTTTATCCATTCATCTGTTGATGGTTGACATTTAGGTTGCTTCCATGTCTTGGCTATTGTAAATACTGCTATGATATATTTCCTTCCTTTTGTATATATACATAGCAGTGGGATTGCTAGAGCATATGGTAGTTCTATTTTTAGTTTTTTTAGGTTGCCTCCATACTGCTCTTCATGATGACTGTAGTAAATTACATTCCCACCAACGGTATATAAGGGTTTTCATTTCTCCACATCCTTGCCAACATTTGTTATTGCCTGTCTTTTGGGTAAAAGCCATTGTAACTGGGGTGAGATGATATTGTAGTTTTGATTTGCATTTCTCTGATGGTTAATGATGTTGCGCATTTTGTCATATATCTGTTGGCCATTCATGTGTCTTCTTTTGAGAAATGTCTATTCTTTTGCCCATTTTAAAATCAGATTATTTGATTTTTTTCCTATTAAATTGTTTGAGCTTCTTACATATTCTGGTATTAATCCCTTGTCAGATGGGTAGTTTGCAAATATTTTCTCCCATTCTTTACTTTCTAATGAGCATTTCTTAGAAGACTTTGACAGCCCTACTTAAGTATCAACCTCAGTGATTAGGGTATCCCTCAATAATTACATTTAGCTATACATTGAACTGGAGGAAAAAACAGTATCAACAGCTAAATTTGAATAATCAATTTCCAAGAATATGTTTTTCACATGTGGCCTGAATGGAACAGTTGGGTTATAAAATGTGAAAATAAAAATTGTTTACCAAGAAGCTAAATGGAAATAAATTTTGTAGGTAGTGAAAAAGTATTGTAACCTTTAATAAAGTATAAATTGCAAATAAATTATTTATAGTTATAGCCTTGATGATAATGATATTTCTGTTCAAGCAATATTTATTAAGCACCTTCTTTCTGCCAAACTCTGTACTAGAGATTGGGAGTATATGAAAGATGAATAATACACACTCCCCAACCTCAAGGAATTTACAGTCTCCTGGGAGAGATTGATGCCCTATTAGTTAAGATTGCTTGTTATAGGTAGCAGAAATCAATGTGAGCTAGCTTAAACTGAAAACAATTATATTAAAAGTACATAAGAATACAGGGTGACTGTAGTCAGTAATAGTCTAATTGTACATTTTAACATAACTAAAAGAGTAAAATACGATCATTTGTAATACAAAGGATAAATGCTTGAGAGGATGGATACTTCATTTTATATGATATGATTAATATGCATTGCAGGCCTATATCAAAACATCTCATGTACCCCATAAATATGTATACCTACTAGGTACCCACAAGAAATAAAAATTTTTAAAAAATAAAGTACATGAGAATGCTTCATTGGACTCAGGGCAAGAGTGTGGCTATACCACAAGAAGGGACTTGTTGCAGTCCCTTAACAATTTTCAGAAGAATTGTTAAGACATTGCTTTTTGTTTCTAAACCCATTTCCTTCAACGCCGTCTCTGCAGGTTGACTTTCTCTAAGTTTCCATCTACGAGACAAGTATAAAACCCCATACCCCATAAAACCCTAGTTCACATTTCTTCTATTCAGGAAATAAGCTAAGATTAACCAGAATTTTTTTAGTGCCATTTCTAAATTCCAAG